AAAGCGTCTTGTTTTGTAGAATGAAGTGCGTTCTTCAAAATCGACCACCAGCTCAATTCGAAATAACTGACGCTGTTTATGCTATAAAGTACGAAGAGCCCCAAAAACACTGTCGTTTGGTTTTAGGGCTTTTAGTATTTCGATCGTAACCGAAAAGTCGTCAATTATTTCGAATTGAGCTAGTGTGGATTTTGAAGAACGCACTTCATTCTACAAAACAAGACGCTTTCCAGGATTCTACGATATTCCTTCCAAATATTATAGGATAGACGAAAAGAGAGAAAAGGGTAACGCACAGACACTCCGGTACCAGAGTTAGGCGTTTTTCATGTATAGTACATAATGTGAGAAACAAGATATATTCTCACGTCGTGTGTATTATGATTTAAAAGTTTAAAAAAGTCTTTTATTTTAGACATGACCAATAATAGAATAATTACAACATTGTTTACATGGTTATGTCTTAGTCTCTTATGTACATCCATACGATTTGGATCAGACTCAGAATATAGTTCATCTCATTCGATAGATACGGTTGATAATCAATTAGTAGCCGATATTCATTCACATCCATTATGGATACAAAAAGAATTAAACGATGATGATAGTGATGAAGATAATTCGAACGAATTAATGTTTATTCTGAAACGCGCCTCACATCAACGTTTTCATGCCATGAGAGGAAAGTGAACATTGCGGAAGTTAAATAGATAAACGATTTTTAGACTTTACTGTGTCAATTATTGAAAAGAACAAAAATTATACAAATGCTTTAACTTATTAAGTATTGATTTTGTTTTCGAATTGTTGATCCTATGTATTTTATAGAAGTTATGTATTAATTAATGGGAGAATTGATGAAGCAGAATAAGAAATATTTATCAAAACAAAATTTTGTATGTTTCACATAAGCTTTACAATCATATTCTGAACACGTGAGAGTATTTTCTAGAGATTACCTACTTATTCTATCCAAAAGACTTATGGTTTTATTATTATTATTAGTCTATTTGTCATTTATTCATATATACGAATAAGCATATGAGTAAATAAATGGGCTCGTTCAGATAAACAAAACAAGGATATCAGGCCTGAATATTACGTAACCAAAAGGTTCAAACTGTTAGACTTTTTTTATTATTATGACTACCGGATAGCGAGTGTGCGTATATCTATCATCATTTATATGCAACCACTAATATACTTTTTCTCCGTAGATAGATCTCATTTTATCTATCTACATTAGATATCTCCGCCCGTACGCTTCAACCTCAAGCAAAGAATAATGCATAATTAAAATTACCATCTCTATTTCGAATTCTACTGTAAAACTTTCAACAATAATTCAACAACCAACACTTAGTAATAGTTAGATAAAATGTGACCGACTGAAAATTCATTGACGATGCACTGTAGTTAGCGAATTTCAAAAAATTTTGCATTAATGATGAATAGCTGAGAGTCTCTGAGTATCTATTTGTTCATTCCCAGTTTTTTCACTCAAAAACGACCTAACGCTTTCTCCACTTAACGCGACATTTTACTGATCAAGTTTTTTTTAAAATCTTTTTCAACGAAAAAGCGATAGAGGAACAGCACTAGACGTAGCTTTGCCTGCTGATCACGAATCTCACTCTTGTTTTGACGAAAAAATTAATTTTCAATACAAAAATTTTAATTTAAACTTTTTAAAAACTTTAATTTCAATTTTTTCACCTAAACATTTTCTTCAAAAAATTTTAAAAGCATGCCATTGAATAGAGAATTCTCTGCAAGATGGTTCATTTTGTTTTCAGATCTGGCTGCTTGAACGTTTAAACTTCCGCTTTGGTCTGAAAACCTCAGAGAATTTTACAAACTTTAATTTGAACTGTAGTCTTTTCAGGAACTCTATTTCTTTCAGCAAGAACTACACGGACAATAAATATGACATCTTTTAAACAACGTTTAGTGTCTAAAAACGGTGCGACAAAAAAGTGTGTCACAGCGTTACTTTACAAAATCGACTTTTCCAGGCGTGCAGAAAAGTTTGGGAAAAAGTTTTTTTTCAGAAGAGAGCCCCTTAGCTCCTCTAGAAACTCACCTCTAGAAACTTTTCAGATACACAACTCAATTTGCAGAAAATCAGAGTTGTATCAGGAGTTCTCAAAACATACGGACCTTTTCTGTCACAGCGTTAATCGACGAAAAATCATTCTAGAAGCTTGAGTCTTGAACCGAAACTCTTCATTTTTACACGGTAAGTAGAGTTTGGTGAGCTGCGTCTGATGGCGCGAGAACGAACAGTTCCTACAGTTTTCGAGAAAAATGCAAATTACTGTGTAAAAACTGTCACAGCATTACCTTTGGACAAGTCGCCAAAAAGATACACAAACCGTACAAAAATTTCGCGAGCTAATCATGGTTAACTAAAGAGTTTTATATTCAAAAACAACCGGTACGACATATTTGGTTGGTAGATTCCCTCAAAGTATGGATAACAGGAAAACCTGTTGATTACTCTTGTGATAGGTGCTCACCTTTCGAATCTTTCCTTTCCGGCTGAAGATGTGCAGAACATATGTTCAACAACTGCTATTCCGGACAAAAGTTTAATATCCTCGAACGAATAAAGTAAAACGAGTAGAATGTTAAACGGTTGGATGATAGGAAAACTATCGAGAGATTAATTCTAAATCTGTTAAAATATAATTGGATAAATAATCATCAAGAAACGAGTCAAGCAAGGTCTTCATTTTAAACAGTTCAAGTGTGAGATGCAATTTTTTACGAACTCCGGCATGTGTAACCAGTGACTTCTATGAACAAAACTGACACACTTTCGTAGTTCAAGATACATCTATTTTTACTTCATTCTATTCCACCAAATCATTTATTGTAGTTTTATTTTATCTTTTCCTGATCTCATTAATTGTGTTTACGAATTTAATTCAGGTTTATAAAATTTGATCCGTCAACTCTGTCTAGATTATACGTTTTTTTGATCTCATGTTTTCTGTAATCAATTGGATTTAAATATTTCTCAATCAAAAAACAGAACACAAACGGATTATGTTCATCTATAATCGAAACATGGGTATATAAATAGGAAAGAACATTTCTTATCCTCTTACATCTTTCTCATTTCATCTTCAACGTTATCTTCAACAATGAGTTGTTTTCCGTGTTCATCTATTAAATCTAAAAAAAATCTCGAAAACTCGAAATCGTCGTACAACTGGACATCATATGAAACAAAGAAGTTCTGGCACATTCGTTACAAGAAACAATCCGTTATCAAACTTGCGAAAGTAAGTACTGTCTCTGCATTTCCCTACAGTTTTCAGTCATATCAGAAGAAAGGTAGTATAGATGCTCTGTCGCTCAGTGGAAGTTTCCTTTTGACGAGCCTCTGCTCAACTTATCTCGGTATGTGTCAATCTGGTAGATTACACACTTCTTCATTGATCGAAATCCAGTTAACCGTACAATGTCTTGAAATTATCTTCTCTTCCAGATTGTACATTCACGAAAACCGTTTTTATTTCGTGTGTCATCTGCCAAGCAAGTTCCACGTCAAAATTCCACGATGATGCATTCTACTACAAATGATGTTACCATACAACCATCGTGGACACGTCAAAGTCAATTGTTTGTGGCAATAGTGAATCAAATATATGAAAATCGTGATCCACACGATATTTTTCCATCGTTCAATCAAGAATGTATCGAACAAATGATAGATGAAATTTCCGTCGATGAAGATCTAACTCAGAACTTGTCAAGTTTCATTAGTCAATGGTGCTGAATGTATTGTGAAATGTTTTAATTGTATATCTTGCATTTTTAGTGAAAGAATAAATTATTTATTTGCAAATATTTTATTTATACAGTATTTCTGTAAAAAGGAAAACTATTTTGCCATTTGTGTAATGGCAAAGAAGGACATTATTAGCCACTTAGTTTGACTAGCGTCTCGATGTCAAAAAAATCCTTGAACGTTGAGTAATTTCTGTATCCATTACAAAATACTTTTCAGTAAGTTGTTGGACGTTCCTCTAGTTCGGTATGTGATACTTCTAAAAAGTGTAGGTAAAACAAATTGCACAAAAAAAACGTGTAGAAAAAGACGTAAAAAATACGCCGTATAAAAAACGCAATGACTTCATAAAAAAAAGCAACAATAAAACAAATAACAATTCATTCGAAGATTCATTGTAAACTATTTAAAAATTGAAGAGAATAAAAAGGTAAATGCATGAGATAAAAGTGAGAAAAAAAGGACAAACTCATATAAAAAGATTTTGTTAATAAATAAATGAGAAACGTGCAAAACATTCTTTTGTCTTTTAGACAGAAGATGAGAAGTCCTGAGATGGTGTTTTTCATTTTTGTAATGTAATTGATATTGGAAAAGTGTGATGAATCTATTCATAAATTGAATAGAAGGAACACAAACAAAGCGTCACTTTCATTGATGACTGACTAGTATAAATCTATAATTCTTCTTTTGTTGTTCGTATATTTTTATCTAATGTGTCAAATACAACATCACTAATATCGACTACTAAACTACTGACATCAACTGAAAGTGGTTTTGTAATATCTTCAACAATATTATTTAATACCGTAGTATTTTCTGTATCCGATATATAATTTGGTTCACCAAAATAGTGTGTCGGTGTCAAAATTGATGGATGAAATGCGTAAGCTTTTAATTTTCGATTTTGAAAATAATTTTTCCATTGAAAATTAGGATGACGATCATACATAATTGGTAAATATTCATCAACAGGAATTATTTTTGATAATGGTTTTTCATCAATTAATAGTTGAGCTCCACGTAATGAGAGTAGATAACCAATTGTCCAATGAGTATAAGCAGGTTCAATAAGATATGTTTCAATTGTTGAATTATAATTTTCTTCTGATAATCGAATTATTTTTCGACCTAAAATTATTTTATAAAATAAAATGAATGATCGAACTGATGGTATTTTACCAGGGTTAGAAATAATAGTTTTCTAGAGCTGAAACTAGAAATGATAGAAAAATGTATTATATATTAGATGAATGTTCATCTAAAATGAAATTGATGTGTATAACTAATATTCCGTATGACGATTATTGGCTGTAGAACTATGGAAGTTTGTATCGAGTACGTCATAATGTTTAAATTCTGGGTGTAGCGGTCGGTGCTTTCAGTAAAAGTCCCGTAACTTCAACAAAACAAACGCTTTTTCGATCGGGCTTGTTTCGTTTTGATCAGAAATGATTGCTTTTCTATTACTAATCGTGAAAACAAAACATCGATCAGGTTTTCCATTTCTTACTTCGGCACATTGCTGCAAATGAGGAACAATTTTTAAAACGTAGTTCTCCAGCCTACCATATGCTCTAAAAAACTTTTTCACTTTCCAGAGGAAAGAGCATACTCAGAAGTACAAAAAGAACTAAGTTTTCACTTTTGCTACACTCTTTTACGTGAATAATTGCAGAAGAAAAAAGTCAAGCCGAAAAATTACCAAATGTACAAAGTTCTCATGGTTTTTTCGCCTTTCGTATAATTTACGTAGTTTCCTTGATTGAAGTTCTAAAATTAAAGTTTAGGTATGGTTTTGTAGAATATTTTGTAGTACATCTTTTAAAAAAAAACACTAACCGTGAGAACCGTACACGAGAAAAATAGAAAATACTGAGAAGTTGATTTATTATGATGCACTTGGTAGATACTTCCATAATTCTCTAGCCAATAATCGTCATACGGAATATGAGTCATACACATCAATTCCATTTTAGATGAACATTAATTTGGTATATAATACATTTTTATATCATTTGTAGTTTCAGCTCTATCCCCCCTGGAAAAATATTATTTTCAAGCCTGTTTACATTACCTAAATATATAAGATCCCATTCAAATGTTTTATTTTTCTCAATGTAATCCAATATGTGTTGTAATTTATATTTAAAATAGACATCAAATTTGACATCATCTTCTAATATCATGACGCCATTTTTTAATTGTCGTTTAACAATATCTTCCCAAATGAAATAATGACTTAAAAAACAGCCAATTTCACCATAATTTATTGGTCGTTGATTATACGGATCGATATAATCTGGTAATAATTTTATTTGATATTTATCTAAATAATTTTGATCAATATCATATTTTCCATCTATTGCATCAAAATATGTTACATCACCAATATTTAATAGATCAAACGTATCTTTTATTCGATTTCGTCTATCCGTTCGACGTTTTAAATTAATAACATAAATTTCATCGAGACCAAATTTTGTTGGTTCTTGTTGTATAACTGACGATATATGTTGACTTTTCTCAATTAATTTTAAATATGTTTGATTTGGTCCATTTAACTGATGTTCATGTAACATGTGTATGTATAAATCGTAGACAATTGTTTCATCAAAATTTGCTTCAGAAAATTGAGCAGTGATATAACCATACAATTCACGATTACAAACATACATTGGAATTGAATAGTTTTTAGCAATTTCATCAATACCTAAATCAATAGTCAGAATTCTTCAAGAGTCGTTTGAGTCGATCATAGTAGGCAGTTTTAGTGCGGAATCGATAATGGTTTTTGGCTGAGGGGTTAGTTGAAATCAATTATACGATCAGTTTTTTCAAAAAAAGCAGAGGATTTAAAAAAGGCTTTTCTCAAGGAAAGTGCCCAGCAAGGACCAAAATTTTTGAAATATTTTCTGGCTGAAAATGTTCATAATGCATATACCCCGATGCGGTTTTACGAGTTGATTCTGAATATCACATTAATTCCCATTAACCCTTTCGGGACGGGTGACGTTTTAAAACGTCATTAAAACCTCAAAAATCGGAATAAGCCGTGTTTTTCAAAATTTTCTTTTGAAGAAACGTCCCTCAAAATTCGATCATAATCAAATTTCA